GCTTGTAAGGGCTTCATGTCGAAAACCGCTTTGTGGATGTCCATTGCAGTGAAAGGCCCGAACAAGGCTGGTGCCTCCGTTTGATTTAGTCGGGGGAAGGCGTTCCTCGGCATCCTATCCTCATACGGAGTATCATCCTGCAAATAGATGCTAGTGATAAAATCAAATACCAACAACGCAAGGGAAGAAGGGTTAGATACCCAGTTGTCATTGTCGTCCAGCAAAGCCTCAATCTTATTGAAGTGTCTCCTAATATTGAACTGCTGATGAAAGTACGACGTATTCCTATCCCATACTTATCTTATTTATCTCTGGACCGCTGATACCATAAGAGTTCCTCCTGCTCAAGGATTTTATCTAACTCTCCCGCCAACTTTGAATGAAGCTTGGCCAAACCGGGAGAAAAGCTGTTTGCAAGTCTCGTTTCCACTCCCTTGAGCCGAGCTAGAAGCCTCCTTTTCTTCTGCCTAATGTCCCCAAAAACCACCTCATTCCATTCAACAAGTTTAGCTGCGAGTGTGTGAAGGGCTTCCTGAATTGGAACATTAGAGTCCCACGACTCTGCTATCACATTCTGCAGGCTATCACTTGTGAGCCAAGAGGCTTCAAATTTAAAAGGTCCCGCCACCTGCTGTTGAGTCAACTGCAAATGGACAGTGGTGAGAATCGGATTGTAGTCCGATTGGTGGTGAGGAAGGTGCAACACTATTGTATTGGGGAATGTCGTGTTCTAGCGAAGATTGCATAGGCTCCTGTCCAGCCGGCTTGCTTTGTAAGCGTGGTTTTCATCGCCTCTCCCCCAAGTGAATTTTGGCCCCGAGAACCCAAGGTCGACTAGTTCCACCAAGTTCATTCTTTCAGTAAAAAGTTGGCACTTTCTGAGAGTGTTTCTCGTTGGTAAACCCGACTTCTCATCCAGCTTGCTAATAGCATTGAAATCCCCTATCACGAGCCAAGGAATATCAATACGTTTACTAAGGTCAATAATGTTATCCCATAGTTGCTTCTGCTCCCACTGCCGAGGAGAGCCATAGATCGCAGTCAGCATTCATGGGGTCTCATTATTCTTGGAAACCTACAGAGATAGATGTTGGAAGCAAGTAGAGTAAGGCTGCACGGAGAAGACTCATGCGTCCCAGAACACCCACAATCCACCCTTGCGTCCCTCTCCCTCCACCCGAATCGAATTGGGGAAACACAACTTATCGCAAACGACATCAGTAGAAGCACCACTTATCTAAGGTTCCATCAGAACCACAAAATTAGGTTGATGGTTCTGGATAGCCAGCTTCAGCGCCCTTAAGAAACCTCTACCTCCTGCACCTCCAATGCTCGAGGAGAAGATTTTTAGCTTAGCAAACATAGACATATCAATAAACCAAAGATGAGAGAGGCAGGGAGAAAAACTTGGAGTTTCGGTGAATCACGCCGAGGGGGATGAACCGTCACTCGGGCTGTTCATTGACTGAAGGTGGCCCGTCGAAGAATCCAGCTCCTTATCATCTGCTTTGCCTGATGGTCGTTTTGCTGCTTTAGTCCAGGCGTTGATCTCTTGAAGAGTCAACGAAGCTACGCGTGCCTTGGATTTGGATTTCCTTTCTTTGGTTGGGGACCAAATCTGCAGGGGTCTCATATGATTAACCTTGCTTGGAGATTTTTTGCTTTGGGTTTTCTTGTTCTTGCTCCGTTTAGTTATGGCTGCAACCGATGGAGTGGAGCTGGTAGCGGGGACGCTACTGTCTCTTGTCGATTGGATGTTCTCCACGATTTGTATCACTGTTCCGTTTTCCCTGTCACCGTTCGAACAACCGGCGAGTGCGGATGGAGAGTTATGGGCTTACCATCAGTAAGAAGCCCACTGCCAATATTTGAGGTAACGAGATCCGCCACTTGATTTTTGGAAGTGATTTTCGGTCCATGAGCCGAGGAGGAGGAGGCCCCATCCTTTGTAGCTAGTTTCGACCCGCTTTCCCCATTCGTGACCGAAATGGGCCTCGGCCCAAGCAGCCCTTTCCCTTTACCAAAAGACTCAGAACCCAAATTTTCCTTCCCTTTCCTCACACCCTCACTATTTTTCTTCCCGTTAATTCCTTTCCTTTCTTGAGTTGGGCTCTGTTGGGGTAAGGAGCCGTTAGTAGTCGTCAAATCGGTTAGAGGGTAAATACCTTCCTTTACCGCTTGTCCGCCCTTCCCATTCTTGGAAACTATTGCCGTAGTATGATTCCCCAAATCATTCTCCACCTTCCCTTTTCTTTGAACATCCCTTGAATTACGCAAAGATTTCCTCGTGACCATCATCCACGGCCCGAAACCCGGGTTGGGGTCTTCCGGTTGGGCCGGCGAGCTGATCAGCGGCGACCCACCGGCGCTTGATTGTTGTGCCAAGGAAACAGTCGGCAAAATCTGAGGGCATGTAGCCGAGAGATGTCCAATCTTCCCGCACTCGAAACATACCTCAGGGAGATTCTCATACTCTACCTTTTGCCATTCATCATCCAGCCAAATTCTGGGTACGAGGTGTTTCGAGAGGTCGACTTCCACCGCAAGCCGAGCAAATTTAGCTCTTTGTTGTATCAAGGTATGGTAGTCCAGCTTGATAGTCCTTCCTAAGAGATTCCACAACGTTTTCAACACTTCCTTGTGGTAGAAGTGAATTTTCAGAGCTGGAAGTCGCACCCAAACGATCATTGTCTTGGGAAGAGGATCAGAAGCTTTAAACTTTGGAGACCATTGTTGCACAACCAAATAATGATCGAAAATTACCCAAGGTCCGTCGGTCAGAGCTCGGAAGTAGTCCTGCTCGTTGTGTAGCTTTACTAGGTAACTGTCATGGTCCAGGTCCTTGACTTTTCAGGCGATTGCAAAGGGTGTCGAAAACGATCCTCAGGCCAAGTAGCCGAACCACCAAAGTATTCTGTCATGGTGCACATATCTTAGCCTTGAACTCAGCCGACACATGTAGAGCCGGTTCCCCATTGCGGTCGCCCGCCACCAGGTCGTGTTCCCCCACCGGAGTCCATTGGCTCACTTGCTGAGAGTTGACGCCATCGTCTTCTGACCTGTAACCGCCTTAGCATAAGTGAAGGGTTGCTGATCGGTTGCCATCCCCACCGTAAGTCCCGGTTGTGTTTTCGCCGCGAGTCCCAACTCCCCCTGTTGCTGCAAAGACACCAAAGAAGAAACAATAGCCATATATGAAGGGGCGGTGGCCGAAACCACTTTTGACGATAATAAAACTGAATCGACTATCGCTAGAGGAAGAAAAGAATCTGGTGGTCTGTCAGAGGGAAAAAGGGCCGGCGCCGGAGCTAGACATCCTCCGCTAGCAGTAGAGAGCATTTTCATTTACACGTACTATATTTGTTATAAGATAATTTTATATATACAATTAATTTGAAGGTTATGCGGTTAGTATTTATTAGGTATACTGATAATAAAATTTTATTCTTTAATTCTTTTTTATTCTTGTGTTACAAATTCTAAGATTAGATCTAGTGATAATATAAAAATGATAATATCTAGCTCACGAAGACCAACAATTACTCTTATAAATAAAAAAAGAAGTGTTGTGCCACTTGCCAAATTTAAATATGCTATTCTTAATTAATAGCTCACGAGACCATAATTTACTTAATAAGTACATGCCAAACATTACTAAACACATACTTGACTGGAGTATAAATTTTTCATCTCAAATCAAAAGGCTAACCAATAATTGACTTGGAGCCTGATTCACTACCCAACATAGTATTGTGATATTTCACCTAATACGCCACCTTGAGTGGAATAAGTAGCCTTCTTGCCTAATAAGCAAACACTTAGCTCTTCATGTAATCCAAAGGAACTTGACCGAGTTCCCTTCTTCATTCTGTATATAACTACTTACTATAATGGAAATAAGGAAAGCCACCACAAGTTGGACGAAGAAAGACAGGAAGAACGAAGAGAACTTAACTTGTTGAGTGGCTGCGTATTTGACCATGGATATATTGACCACCGTAAAAACGACGGGAAACCAGAAACGGTTGAATTGAAGATGCTCGTAACGAACGACCATCAGTGCTGGTCAATCTCAGTTTATCACCAAGACATCGAACCAGGAGACTTCCCGTTCCCCTTTCAAAGTGCAACCTTTCTCCTTTGACATTAGCAACATCCTAAAATTCCAACAATACCCTCCCTCCTCTGACCATTTCTCCGGGTTTCCTAGTGACACCCGCACCAGTAGAATGCTAGAATCTAACTTCTTTTTTTTGGGTCCAAACAAGCCAGAAGCTTAACTTCGAACGCCCGAAAATGAAACTTCCCTCCAGAGGGAAATCCCCATTTTTCCTCCTACCTCCTTCTTCAAAGAAAGCGCAGGGTCCTCTGCTAGCGTACAACTCGGCTGTATATTGTGTCATGTAATAGTGATATAGTCTATTGGGAGATAAGCTTTATTTTTATTGAGAAGCACAGAGGTTCGATCCACAACTACCCCAGATTTTGCTTTAGCCACTCCTTTTTTATTCTTTTATTACTTTAATCAAACTTCATAAGAAAAAGTCAATCTCTATTTAATTTTCACTTGGTGATTTTTCTAATTAAAATTCTAATAATTCTCTTTTATAGAAACTATATGATCCAGGGATTAACAGAGATATGATTGTCAAAGAAATTAAAATTATGAGTTTCTTGTTAATCATTTAGTTATTTATATTAAATGAAAGATAGCTAATTTTTTTTTTTTTGGTTTAGATGCTATTTTGAACAATTATCACAAAGAATGTTGTGTACTTTTAAAATAATTATTTTAATTTTATTTATATTTAATTATTTTCGGCACACCCGGTCTCAAAATCCTGACTCCACCCCTGTGACCCGACCCGACCAGTTGATTTACTGCCTGTCAGTCCCTCTTCTGTCATCCACCACCCAATTGGAATTGCAGCCCTTCCTTCCCCTTTCCTTCTCCCTTCCCTCAACTATATAACAAACAACCCCTCACCAACTTCTTCTCAAACAAAATATCGCCCACTTCTCAATTCTCAAAACCCACTTCATTCCAATCAACATCCAAACCCAAATTAAAATGGCTCATAGAGTCGGGGAGTTCGAAGATTTGTTGCCGGTGATGGCCGAAAAATTAGGCGGGAAGGATTGATCACGGAGCTCTGCAATGGGTTCCAGCTGCTGATGGATAAGGAGAAAGGGGTGATCACAACGGAGAGCTTGAGACGAAACGCCGCCGTGGTGGGTCTGCAGGACTTTTCAGGCGAGGAGATCGCCGAGATGGTGAAGGAAGGGGATCTGGACGGTGACGGCTCATTGAATCAGATGGAGTTTTGCATTCTGATGTTTCGATTGAGCCCTGAGCTGATGAGTGATTCCCAAGCGTAGCTCGAAGAAGCCATCCAAGAGGAATTCAGAGACGTAGCTTGGTTTTGATTTTCCTTTTTGGTTGTACTCACGCTAACTCCTTCACTGGTCCTTATCATTAATCTTTGCCTCTTTGGGTATTGAATTGTAATTTTGGTTCTCTATTCTCGATCAACTGTTGGAAATTAGGAATGAAAGGTAAAAAGAAAAAAAAGGGGAAAAGTTACAATCTCATATTCACATTGTTATTTGTGTTAGTTCATTCATTAATTCGGCCAATTATTATTTTTATATAATTTGTTAATCTTTTGCCACATATCACGTCGGGATTGTTAGTTTGTGTGAGATCAAAGATAGAATCTCATTTAATTCCCTCCAATTAGAGTGTGTAACGGTGGGACCGAATCAAACTCATGAAAATTGCGAACCAATACAAAAAGCCATCTTATGACTAATAACCAGGTTAAAATTGCATTCGACAATCCAAATGTTAATTTCGTCTATTTTTTAATATTTATAACATTTATGGAGATCAAGGACCGATCCACATCAAAGCGTCAATTTGGAGTACTCCGGTACAAATACACACCCCCTACATCCTTTTTATTTGCTGATTTTTTCCAATTTAGTAAAGCTCTAGCATTTGATAGTTAAGACAAATTTTCGCTTGACTATTGGTTCGTATGGCTCCAACGAACAAATAAATTATCACAAGTAAAAAATCAATATAATAAAACAAAGAAATTAGGACAGTAATTTGGAGAAGATGTTATCTTCCTCCTTTACTTGTGTGATTAGTGATTACATGCCTCAAAGTTATGCTACACGCCACTAGGTTAAAAGGTGTGAAGTTATCATAATTAGCGTAAGGCTCTTACTATTGAGTTTTCAAGAAGATTTGTTGGTAGAGATGGTAATTTGAATACAATCACCGCTAAAAACTTCAACTATATACTCCAATTCGTTTAATTCAAAACTAATTGAATTAATGGATTATAGATTGTTAGAAAATTACAATTTACTACCTTTACTTTTATATTTTATATTTTGATACCTAAGTTAAAAATTAAAATTATCATTTAATAATGTTGCTACATGGACATGAGCTGTCTAAGTAACCCAATAGTTAGAAAGAAGCACGAGATAACATTGATAGGTAACTTACAGTGACCAACTTTTACAAAATCTCTCTTGGCGTTGTAGAGAGTGTTCCATGCCTCCAACCTTGCAACGTAGTTAGTAGGTTGGACCGGCCAAACAAGGAAGGAAGACTCAAATACCAGTCTTATAACCTAATCGAACCCACACAAAGTTGCCATCCAAGCATCTCCTGCTCCACCTACTGAGTATTCACCTTAAATTAAACGACAACTGACTGCTTAGGAAAAATAAATGTTACCCAGTAATAGATTCGCAGTTATGCAGGAAACTAGATTGTACCCCGGCCAGTTGGCCGGTTGCAATACGATTACAGTAATTAACAAAGGTTTCAAGATAGTTTCTTAGTTTTTATCATTCAAAAATTCAAACTATGCAATTGCAGAGAAAATAAAAAATGAGCATCCATCATACATATTACTACATTGTACTCAGTGCCTCAACTCATAAATTTAAGGTTTAATACACTTGTATATCCAAAACTTTCACGGTTGTGCCAATAATATCCAAATTTCCCGGAATACCACTTATATCCATGTTTTAAAGTTGTTCTTTGCCAAATCTATCCATTTCCCAATATATTTTTGGTTAAATACACTTGTATATCCAAAAACACAGTTAAAGAATGTGAAGGAATTGAATATAAGTGGTATTTCGGGAAATTTGAATATTATTGGCACAACCGTGAAAGTTTTGGATATACAAGTGTATTTAGGGATGGCAATTTCGACCTGACCCGATTTACCCGACCTGTTTGACCTGTTTTGGGGCAGGTCAAACCCGCCCCGTAGGCGGGGCGGGGCGGGCATGGGTACCTCTCATCGACCCGACCTGCCCTAACCCGCCCCATTCTGGACCCGTTCTTGCCTATATTACATATAATATTAGTCAAATTACTTAGGATTTTCCTCTTATTACATTATATTTTAGATATAATAAAAATGTAAATAAGTGAAAATCTCAATTTCTTCAATAATTTAACTACATTTTATCATATTATGGTTTCTTTCTTGGTCTTTTAATGAAAATAACGAATGTTTCCAATGTTTTTCGCATAAATTACATACCCAATGGGTCGACCTGCCCCGACCCGCGCCCCATGATAAATTACCCGACCTGGACCCGACCTGCCATGGGGCGGGTATGGGTATCGAGATACCCGCCCCGGACCTGCCCCATTGCCATTCCTAAGTGTATTTAACCTAAATGTAATAATAATATTATAGGTATTCCAAGATGACTGGTATCAATAAAGAGTTTTCATCATCAACTGGCACTTCTTTTTGTAGCTGTTTTGTGAAACAAATTCAAAGAGAAAACATAAGGATATATGAAATATCATTTTCATGACACCTCATTCTAGTCACAAATATTCTTGGAGAGCATTGAATATGTTGGAAACTGTTAATTTAGTTATGTAATTTGTGATGTTGTACTCACTAAACTTGATGTGGAATTTCAACTTCATTCCATTTCTTTTGTAAATATTTTATTCCTTCATTTAATAAGACTTGAGGGAGAGGAGGTATTGTTCTTTCCCTATTTTAAATATTTTTTAAAATATTGGATAAAATACAAATTAGTGTAAATACAATGAAAAAGAATTAGGAGTAGGGATGGCAACGGGTCGAGTCGGGGATGGATAGTGCATATCCGTTACCCTAACCAAAGTAGTTCGGGTTTTACTCATATCCATACCCGCATAAGAAACGGGTATAAAATCAAAACCATGCCCATACCCATTCGGGTTTCGGGTATCCACGGTTATCCATGGATAATAGTTTCTCTTTATAACTCCAACTAATATGTTAATATTCACACGTATTCCCTCATTACATAAGACAAAAAGTACGCAATTATTCACTAGAATGAAGAAAATTAATTAAAACAACACAATTTCATGAAAATATTATCTTGATATGCTAAATTTAAAATATGTTAGGGAAAGTAATGATTATTTTTAGACATAATACGTATGTATGTGTATAATCGGGCAGGTTCGGGTTGGATAGTGAGAAAACCATACTCGTCCATTACCCGCAATGTTCAGGTTCGGATTTTACCCGTACCCACTAAAAGTCCTCCGGGTTCGGGATTTACCCTACCCAATTAGGTCGGATTCGGGCGGATATCCATGTTTACGGATATTGTTGTCATCCCTAATTAGGAGCTTTAATCAATCATTAAATTCAAACTGATATTTACCTTAATAGCATATTTCCATTTAATGTTTTAAGTAATTATTATATTGATAATTTAGCCAAATGTCACATAGTCTAGCAGTGAAACCCTCGTGGTCGCTCGTTCTCGAAAGTTGCAGATTCTGTTTTCGACCACCTTCGAGGCCCACTGTGGTGTTTCCGGAGGCATCTTTGGCTGCTGGGTGAAGCCCTGTTAGCGCGTGAGTGTTCTTGTGCCCCTAGGTTTGGCCGTCTCACTCCACTGTCACAAAATGTGGTGTGTTGTGGGGATGCTACTGGATTATCAAAAAATTATATTGATAATTTAATTATTTTATATTTAATTGTAATAATAGTTTTCTAAATTTTAGTGTGTTGCGGAAAAACAAAACAAAAAATTCAAGTGATATGGGAGGTAGGTTATGCACGGAAAATTGAGATACAAAAGGGACTTATACGTCCTTCCATAAGTTCCATTGATGCCGTATTAATTTTGGCCCATTCCTTCCTCAATACTTTTTTATGGCCCAAATTATGTTTTGACATAAATTAAAAAATTTGAGAAGCTGGGCCTATGTCCCTATGGGCTATGGCCCATGTGATGTGATTTTAAAATTCTGTTATGACCTAAAGCTCCCTCCGTTCTCTGCCCAGAAGCCAGGGAAAGTGAAATTGAGGTGGTTCAAGGAGGAGAACCTCCTTATAGGAATGGTTTAGATGGATTAGTCAGTCATTAGTGTAGTACATTCGTGAGCAGAAGCCCATAAAACCAAGTAGGAATCAGACAAATAAAATATGAGAAATCCCAATACACCAACTTCCCATCGACCCACTTCAGTGCCTTACTGTTCAAAGCTTGTTTTGATAAAGGCCGATAACCCCTCCATACAAGAAATAAATAATAGTGAGGATAATATATAACATTGTCTAAGACCACAAGAAGAAGAAAAAAAATATAGAAGAACAACCGTTCACAGTGATTTAAAGTGTGGTTGTCATAGACTCATGAGTCATGCCACATTTTTTATTCAATTGAGAAAGATAGTAGAAACTATAAAATCCTAGCCGATGAAAAAGAGCAAAAGAAATAATCATTCCACCCTCCCTATCATATGCTTTGTGACAATAAAATTCCTCTAACCTTTCCTGTTATTCTTCACAAAATATATACCATGAGTCCATGACTACTCTATTGGGTGCCAATCCGAATTTCGAAACCTCGCAGGTCCGTTAATAGATGGGCCAAGCCCATTTTCTGAAATTGCGGGTGTGCAGGTCTCCGTAAGACATGGACATAGTAGCCCAAATGAAACTCCGGATGATGCCTGGCCTGCTGCTTCCTATATTGTGAGTGTGTCATGCAAGAAAATAGATTAAATATACATATTCTAAACCAAAAAACTATTATTTAAAAACATTTTACTGATCATTAGAAGTTTTGGGTTCCGGTACATAACACCACCTGCAAAATCATGCGAAACTCAAATCGTATTGTCGTATCACAACATGGTATCACCTAGTTTTGCAAGCGGGGTTTTGTACCTATCTGCACCATTATTAAAATTTTAAAGTTACATTGTGAAAGAACTTCATTTACAATCTTACAAACCTGGAGCAAAAATTTATGTAATAAATGGTTTAGGATAGCGTACGTCAACCTCATCGTACACTCATTGAGTTTTTATATTTAGATAATAAATTATTGGAAGAATAAGCCCATAATTTTCTAACTCAAACAATAAAGTGCGTCTAATCTAAATATAATAACCAACCATTCTTGTTTGAGCCTAACTGGGTGTAGGAGGGAGACTCGGGAAAATGGGTCAAGGAGAGTAAGCAATGAGGGAATAATCGTCGATGGAAGAACTGAGG